AGCCTCGCATGTCACTTCCTGTCGTCTGTTGTTTGTTGTGCCCTTGTTTGTTCTCTTGGCACCTTGGAGTGCTGGGGGGGGCGACAGGGAGGATGTGGCCTTGAGTTATGTGTACGCCTACTCAGGGTGTGTGGCAGCCAGCTGGCTGTGTGTCTTGTGAGCCTGTTTGTGTCTGTGTGTCGCTCGTGCGTGTCGTCATCATCTGTCTAGCGTCCACCCATACCGCGTTGGTGTCCAGTCCGAGCCTGGCTGTTCTTCACCTTCCTACCTACTTGAGCACTTGAGCACTGGATAGGGTCGGTTCCGCATGGTACGGGACCCCTCGATCGTCTCGCCCTCCCTCACTGGTGTGTTCATTGGGGGGGGGTCATAACAAACACGGTGCAGGATCGAGGTGCACGCTGCCGAAGCAGTGTCGTCCCCCCTCTCCCCGACGGCGATGGCGGTGTGACCGATCGAGCTACAAGAGGAGCTTGTTCAGCAGGTTCCGGGATAGTCAGATGCACTACCTCACTGGGCCTGAGATCATCACACGACAGCATCCCGTCACCGTCTCGGATTTATGTGGAGTCGAACCACTCCGGGATGGGCAATCCCATCGGTTAATTGTCAAGATTCCTGTTGTGCAGGAGGGGAGGGGGCTCTGACGGTGTGTGTGACGGGAGAGGGCAGGGAATGGGCGCAGGGGGAAGGGGGGGGGGGGGCTCAGCCGTGCGAAAAGCATCAATTAATAATAGTAAGGAAGACATATTGCCCGGCCGTTCATGAAGTCCGTCTCGATTTTGGTTTTTTCCCCACGGACCACACGGGCAGCTTCTACCTACCGCTACCTACCTGTATGTGTCGCTCGTGCGTGCCGTCATCATCTGTCCAGCGTCCACCCATACCGCGTTGGTGTCCAGTCCGAGCCTGGCTGTTCTTCACCTTTCTACCTAACCTAACCTTCCGGCTGCTCGTGCCGTGGCTCAAGGTTGGCTGCAACGTGCTCCTCTCGGTCGGATGTCGACGTCGTCTACTTGCGAGACCCGTTCCAGTCGTCGCCGCCGCTGCTGCACCGTGACTCAGACGTCGAGGCGACACGTCCTAGACACCTCCTAGACACCTCCTAGACACGGGACTGCGGACTGGACCCTCGCGCACTTGCCACTTCGCACTAACACAGGTACACCAACGGAGAAAGAAAATCCGGCACACGCCTTCGGATAAGCGTCCGGTCCCCGCTCCCGTTGATGAGTCCCTGATCGTCCTTCCAAGATCCTGCTGGAACCTGCTCGTTCGTGCAGCTGGGGGGGCCTGTCCTTCTCCCACCCCTCGTGTCGAGATTTTATTTATGTTATATCTCTCTCTCTTCAGTTGGTTGCCTTCTCACCCTTTCTGGACCTCAATAAAGGCCCCGAAACTTGAGTGGGGGCCGAGCTGAGAAGAAGACCTTTAGGGAAAAAGCAAAAAAACAAACGAAGGCTAAGCTCAAAAAACAAATAGAACTCTGTTGGAGTTCAATCGTGAGCCGCCCTGCCTTGTGCCGATTTGCCCCCCGAGACGCTGGCTCGAGCACTTCAGATTAACGCTTTGGTAGCGTGCCGACAACGTGACCAAAAAATGCGCCTCTTCGTCCTCGCCGCGGCTCTGGCCCTGCCCACTGTCCGTGCCACGTGCTCAAACATGATGCAGGACGGGAACGAGACGGGCGTCGATTGCCCGACCAAGGCGTGCAACGCACCCACACCACCGCCAATAAACTCTCCAAGACCGCCGCCTCTCTCTGGCGAACAGGAGGTGTACGAGGAGCTCCTGGGCGAGACTCTACTGATTTACACGGGAGCCGCACTTGACGAGGAGCCATGTATGACGAGCGAGCAATTTGAGAATCTGATCGATGACTTGGCCCTGACCGACCTCTTTCCCAACGACACCTTCGAAGAGGCCGACGCCGACAGCGGCGAGTGCGTGAACGTCACAGAG